CAGGATGCTACCACTTCAGCAGACGATGCTGCCCATGCGCTGATCTGTTATATTGTCCACAGATCAATAAAGACAACGGCCGGTGTTTAGGAGCAACCCACCCTCAGTAACTCCGTACTGCGAAGTTTCAAAAGCCATCCAACGAAGAATTCTAACGACGAGGGGACCACCTTCTCTTTAGACGATGGTGGCGGGGAAGGAGAAGTGAACGAAATATGAATACCAATGGCCGAAACCAGAATGAAGGGGATCTTCAATAGACTCATGGTGTGCCGTTGTATGTGACCTAGAGGTATTAAGAGGAAGTTGATAGGAACTGATCAAGTCGAAGGAGGAGGCTAGTATGATTTTTATATTGGAATGCTTAGTTGCCCTGTTCCAACCCGGAGCTTTGATCCGTTTCAACATGAGGTAACACTCAAGTCCGAACATGCATCGCCCCCCCTCAACACCGTCACTTAGCATATGAAGCAAATGATTGTAAAACTACCGTTAGAGTATATATCTTTAAGACCTATAATCTATACCCACTCGCCTGCGAGGTCAACCATCCAGCTTCATCTGGCTCCAGAGTCACTGACACAATCTAATGGGTTGGGGTGGACAGGGCATCACATCGACTCGGGGTGGGAGCCTATCAGCAGGTGGAACTGCTCGAGAGGGCAGGATACCTGCTTACCAATTCGACCATGCCAAATGACTCTTCGAGTAGCTTTGGAACAAAACATGTACATATTCGTGAACCGAAGGTATTGTTATATATGCCGATATATGATTATATATAGGAAAGGTTTTCTTTATAAAGTCATATAAAGCCATGTATAACGTCGGAAAACCACCGCAATCAACGTAAAGCACCCTGGGTAGACTCACGAATTCTCTGATGGTGAGTAGGTCTAAAGACTGTAGGTACGAGTGAGGAAGTGCAGGGTCCGATGGACTCGAATGCGGGATGCGAACAGCGTGTTTGCTCGGTCGAACACGGAAGATGAAAGTTTGCCGTTGTCAACATACAGCACCCTAACATATGCGTTGACGTCAGGTGCCGGTATCGTCGACCATCACATCTCGGGATATCCAACAACGAGAAAATAACCTAGAAGTCAGACATGCGTTTGTATTAGCACATACGGCAGCCTAAGTGGAGCATTGGGGAATTCTTGAGTAGCAATAGGAAAAGATACAGTATGCGCGAGTTATCTTTACAGGGAAAACATGGATTTGAATCCGAGTGCGAGGAGGATACACTAATCTACGTAACTCGTCAATTTTCTCAACGAGATGAGTTGGCAACATGGAGAAATGACGTAACTTATCAATCTTTTCTTGACAAAGATTGAGTGCGAGGATATACTAATTCAACTCGTCAACTTTCTCAAACAAGACAAGTTGGCGACATGGAGGAATGACATAAATGGGGAGGACGACGCGCGCGGTGGCTGGAAGGCAAGGAGTATATAAGCAGAGCGTTTTTAATTAACGGAATACAAAGGAGACCAGCTCCGGATGTTGCCGGGGTCTATAATTTATAATTTACAGGTAACACCTCACTGGGGTCGTGCTAGACCAGGGCCTAGAAATAAATAGGTAAGTACTGGTCTAGCAAAATTTACCCGACCCTCAACAGTAATCTGACCTCGAAAAGGCGCGATTTCCATAGTAGAAGGACACCCTGCCTGTAACGCAAGACAACCCAGGCGAAAACCCACATAAAAGATTCCAGATCATGGCGATATAGGTGTTCGACTTCGCCTTGTTGAGCATCTGTACTGAGAAGATCGAGCGCCATGAACGGTACCGTGCCTGTACGCCCGTTGCCCCGAGGACCCACTACATCCACCAACGAGGATAGATCGTAGTCGTTTAGCACACTGATCAGTTTGCCGTTTTTCCTGTACCACATCAAGTCTCCAGGGCTGATATCTCGATGATAGACACCTTCCTTCCACAGAGTAAGGTGGCCTGCACGTTAGGTCAACGAAGAGCCGCATAAATTTAATCAAATACGTACATAGGATACAATCACACCAGGTGTCGAAAAGCTCTTTGCCGTGAAGCTTCGTGATGGGGCGGAGCTCGCAGAATACGAGAATGTAGAGCACGTGAGTGCCTGTGGTGGGTTCTGGAACCCCGAACGCTTCTCGGATGGCGAACGTGGGTTTCGTAAACGTGTGATGCCAGTGGAACTCAGGAATATGATCCCTTACTGTATCGTGCACCTTAGCGATCTCCTCAACTTGCAGGTGCTCACGCTGTTTAGTCTCTGGAGCGCAAGAAGCGTGCTGCAAGAGGGTTTGCGGCATGGTATCTGTCTTGCAGTGCTCGACCTGCTCGACGTCCCGCTGAATCCATGGGGTAGCCCTTGATGGAATGTTAGGTGCTACTCAATAAAAACAGGAAAGGTGCGCACTGGACACCGACCACGTCGATGTTCTCGTTAATGATGGGAGTTCTATGGCTGTTTGGGGTAGATTTTGTTGTGCTAGCATCATGAGCTGGTGCATTGGCGCGTGGCGGAGCAGACGATGTGCCTGTCTCGCAGACAGGGGACACGACGCTAGGCGTTCAATGATTACGCTGGCGGAATGTTGTCAGTAGAACTAGTGAGGTGGAGAAAACTAAGAGGACAAGAAAGACGACTACTTTGCTGGCCTTATATCCGGTTGACCAATGTAGTTCAAATGTAGTGGACCATCGACCAGCCTGATATGGATTGGCGTGGCAGTTATCCACTCTTTGGCAGAACTCGTCCTAAAATATTTCTACCCCCTACACCAGTTGTGGACCTATAGTTCGACTCCGACGACGCGTTCCCATCAACACGCGCTGAAATCGAGCGGACGCATCTCTTCAGAATTCAGCAGCCTGGCTAGTGTTCCGTGGAAATCCACCAGGTTATCCACCAATGTAGATATCCACCCAGTTACCCACGTGGATAACCCGGTGGATAACCCATGATTGTTTTGGAGGCCAAAATTCACAGGTGGATAACGTGGATAACTCAGAAAATCGTGTGGGCATATGGGGTCGTGATTAATGTCATAGAAATAATAAGTATAGCGCAGCACTTCCCTCCTTCTCCAGGAAGACTACCAGACTGGTACAAAGACGCCACGGCTTTGAGACAAGTGATGATTAGTTTTCGACTGACTTGATTTCACTGGAGCAAACAGCCCTTCCCAGTTACTTAATGACCAAACTTGTGGGCGATTCTGATTTCTAAGGAGGCACAGCCGAGTTCGGGAGTTCAAATACGCCAAAGTATGGCATCCAGTAGCTCTCCGAAATAATTCATACTTATTGCGATGATTTATTCGACCAAAGTTTAAACGGAAATCTAGAGCAGACGGAGATAGGATCTGCTGATTGGCAGAAATTAGAACTGGGGTGGTGATGTAGAGTCCTTAAACAGACTCGTGTGATGCTTAGGGTGCAAGCTAGTCTCCAGATAGGCAGCAAACAGAAGGACTGATGAATGTATGTGAACAGCGCCCAATATTTTGTCAAAGTTGAACGGCAGAGCCTTGGAGGTGCCTGGAAGTACTAGTACTGTGCCTATTGCACCCTTAGTAGCTCGGCAAATACCTATCTGAGTTTGAAACCATACGGCTCTGACCAGCATTGCCACACCGCCCAGTAGCGCGCATCCAAGCCCAATCGATGTTTCCAACAAGGCCGCCGAGTCGGGCCCGAATGATGTGCGTGATTCGTTCAATGGGTATGCTGTGTAAGTAATAATCACGTCGATGCTCATCACTAATTATAATCGTTTTGCTCGTTATGCTGCGATAGACCACAGTCCATATATATCAGACTCGAACGTGTTTATTTGAAACACACAAGAACACGATATCCACGGAATGATTAAGCACAGGCCTCCTAACCAACGCCGACATACCATATTGACAGCCCGAATATTGATATTGATCATTCCTCACCTGCATTGCAACCCATCCGGGGCTCCCACACGTCATCTAAAATGCAAGTCTGCATAAAGTTGAGTTACCGAAACGACTGATCATGACACCTTCTATCGGCATATCCAGGTCCCCGTGATGCTTCGATCTGTGCAAAGTCACCCTAACAGCGGAATGCAGCATTTGCGCAGCCATCCGTACTTGGGCGCTCTCTCTGGGGTACATAAGAGGGGGTGGCTACAGTGGTTAATGCCTCATTAACAACAACATCATTTCCACCATCATGGCACTCGTTCTCCCCACTCTGACCGCGTTCACTTCTTCGCGTCTCATGGCTATTCTGACGGCCAAGACCCAAGCAGATTTCACTATGGCGTTTGATGCGCTTTTCGCGCATAATGTTAATGTCATTTACAATGGAAAGCAAGTTTCAAGGGAGCAGTATCAGGCACAGTTGCTCAGTCAGAGTAGCGCTGCTGTTGAAGAGCAAGGTGCGAGCGTCAGTGTTCAAGGTCAACTAGAAGTCCCCGGCGACAAGGGACAAATCGTAAGCATTTTATTTTATTTTATGCTCTGCAATGTCATTGAAGAAATTCACAGTCTGGGCTCGTCGGTCTATTTTACACTTCCCTCGTTGACTCAAAGTTCCTTGTCTTGGGAGCTCCTGCGGAAAGCAAAGTGACTTCCTCATTCAATGCGATGTAAGATTTATCATTGTGATTACTCAGCGATCTGATCATCTTACGCTACGCAGCATTCAGGCGACAGAGCCTCGACCCCAGCCTAACCCCCGCATTCGGGGATATTTTGACCCCCGTCGCATAGTGACGGTGAACCAGATTGCCACCGATCAAGCCGTGCATGTCAGCATCCCTGTCGCTTCCATCAATGCAAGCTCACCCGGCGTCACTACCACTGAGAATTTCACGTTGGGCCCTGGCCCTAGAAAGCTTCCGCCAGGGCCGTTTGGTGGACACTTTGGTCCCGGACCAGTGCGCTTGGACCCTTTGGAGACAGATCCTCAGCGAGAGACGTTCCCAGGGGACGGGGAGTTTGGCGCTCCTCCGGTTGTGATCCCTGGAGAAACTATCGGTGAAGATACCAACCCTAAGGCATGAGTATCTTAGACTCCCTTTCATACAGTATGTGACACGGACATATGTTGACCTATGTATCACTACTTGTACATTACAGTATAGCACAGTCGAAATAATCTTTCTGAAGGCAAACGTGGCGATGTGATATAAACTTCGGAGTGATTGAGTACATGGAATATGGCTGAGAAGTTGAGTATCAATAGAATAAGAGCGACATTAATCGCGCAACAACAGGCATGATTCAAGAATATTCCCCGCGGTCTGCCTTTACCTAATGGCATGTCAACGACAAAGATGCAGGATCCGCAATCAAAGCACTCACATCAGCCTCGCTCTCCGTTGGACAGGGTTCTCTCGTGACTTCTGTTATCTCCTCATAGACGACGTGCCGCTTGATGGTGCGCCCGTCGGGCTCCATGTCAGTGCCTTCCTGATCTGTTCCAAGATCACCAGCACCGACAACGCCCTCAAACTCACCCACTCTGGCAGTACCGAGAGGACCAGTCACTTCGTCTTTCAGGTAAGATGCCTCTCTGTGATCCATTTGCTCGTCCGGTTGGTGCTTCGCATTAATATAATCAATCGTCTTGCGCTGAAGATCGTTAATTGTGACGGAAGAGCGGTCAGCCTACAAAATGATGTCAATGTCGTTTTCCTCAACGTTTCGATATTGTATCGAGCACCTTTACGTGTGCTTCAGATGCAGATGCCAGATCTTCGTTCCACCCTGGTGCGTCATCGATTGGGGTTGAAGTTTCATGCTGGATTCTGGACAAGTTTCTTCGTTTCTCTCTCTCCAACGTCTGTGATAAAGGAATTTAGTTCTGTTTCTGGGGCGAGCGGTTGGAGCGGACGTACCTCCGGATCATTGTCATGCATCGTACTTTGGCAACAAAGTCATGATGAGCACAGTAATATGCGATTTTGAATTTATAACCAATACCTAGTGTACCGTCTTCGGTTATCATACCGTCAGCTTCTAGACTCGAAGGTGTCTGTTTTATGGGCGCACCTCGCACTTGCATATCGCGACGAAACTCTGAAAGTTCCGGAAACTCTCTTTATAGAGCAGCGTGCTGCAGTAAGATAGCTCATTGGATATGGAGGGGATGGACTTGAGTGAAACACGCTCGTAAATCTGAAATACTGTGCCCCTAACGTCATCTGAGCCAAAAGTTTATGATGTCATAGCGTGGGAGTTCCTTTTTTTGGCATCTATGTTACGCCGGTGGAACGAACTTGTGGCACTGGCATTAATTTAATTAGTGAGTGCTTTCGATAAGGACCTAGGCTCACGTCGCCATATAGACTAGACTCCGATTTTCTGAGCTGGAGCATACGTCATCTGCTGGGAGCTGCGGTTGGATACACCACAGTCCCTCGATTTGGGTAAGCCACCAAACATCGCACATTCATTAACTTTGCATTCAAAGCGTGTACCGTCACCGCCCCTTTGTCACTGCTTTCGTTCTTACTGCCCTCGTTCCTGTCCACATCATTTGATCGTTCTTTCTTTGTACAACAATACCCCGCTTTTTTGTACAATCACCTCCCTCTCCCCCTCCTTGTACAACCTCATACTTTCTTTGTACAACTACCCTCGTCGCTGCACACGTCGATCGCGTGTTATGACAGGGAACTGGATGCGACGCATGTATGTACTTTTAATCGCATTTGTACTAATCGGTGTGTATAAGAATCAGAATAAAGGATTCTGCTCGTGTCTGCCACGATATCGACTTGGGCTGTGTTGGATCAATGCTCTATATGCTGTCATTGATGGGCCGAG